AGAAAACTGTGGTACATATACACAATGGAATATTACTCAGCTATTAAAAAGAATGCATTTGAATCAGTTCTAATGAGATGGATGAAACTGGAGCCCATTATACAGAGTGAATTAAGTCAGAAAGAAAAATACCAATATAGTATATTAACACATATATATGGAATTTAGAAAGATCATAACAATGACCCTATATGTGAGACAGCAAAAGAGACACAGATATAAAGAGCAGACTTTTGGACTCTATGGGAGATGGTGAAGGTGGGATGATTTGAGAGAATAGTATTGAAACATGTATATTACCACATGTGAAACAGATCACCAGTCCAAGTTCAATGCATGAAACAGGGCACTGAAAGCCAGTGCACTGGGACAACCCTGAGGGATGGATGGGGAGGGAGGTGGGAGAGGGCTTCAGGATGGAGGAGACATGTACACCCATGGCTGATTCATGTCAATGTATGGCAAAAACCACTACAGTACTGTAAAGTGATTAGTCTCCAATTAAAATAAATAATTTTTAAAAAGTCTACAAACAATAAATGCTGGAGAGGGTGTGGAGAAAAGGGAACCCTCTTGCACTGTTGGTGGGAATGTAAATTGATACAGCCATTATGGAAAACAGTATGGAGATTTTTTAAAAAACTAGGAATAAAACCACCATATGAGCCAGCAATCCCACTACTAGGCATATACCCTGAAGAAATCAAAATGGAAAAAGACGCATGTACCCCAATATTCATTGCAGCACTGTTTACAATATCTAGAACATTGAAGCAACCTAGGTGTCCCTTGATAGATGAATGGATAAAGAAGCTGTGGTCAATATACATGATGGCATATTACTCAGCCATACAAAAATAATGCATTTGAATCAATTCTAATGAGGTGGACGAACCTAGGGCCTATTATAAAGAATGAAGTAAGTCAGAAAGAGAAAGATAAATATCATACACTAATACATATATATGGAATCTAGAAAGATGGTAGTGATGAAATTATTTGCAGGGCAGCAATGGAAACACAGACATAGAGAGCAGACTTATGGACACAGTGTGAGCGGGAGGAAAGAGAGAGTGAAATGTATGGAGAAAGCAACATGGAAACTTAAAATACCATATGTTAAATAGACAGCCAGTGAGAATTTGCTGTATGACTCAGGGAACTCAAACAGGGGCTCTGTAACAACCTAGCGGGGTGGAATGGGGAAGGAGATGGGAGGGAGTTTCAAGAGGAAGGGGACATATGTTTACCTGTGGCTGATTCATGCTGATGTTTAGCAGAAACCAACAAAATTCTATAAAGCAATTAACCTTCAATTAAAAAAATAAACAAATTAAAAAAAAAAAAAAAAGAGTGGAGCAGGTATACCTAACCCAGCCTGAGATAGGACAAGGCATTTAAGTTGGGCTTTACATAGGAGACGTCACCTGAGCCTGACAGAAGTTAGCCCGATGAAAGAAGTTAGGAGAGGTATGGAGAAGAACCTTTTTTTCCTCCTGAGAGCACTCTTTTTTTTTTTTCCTAATTAATTTTTATTGGAGTATGGGCTTCCCTGCTGGCCCAGACTGTAAAGAATCTGCCTGCAACGCAGGGGATCTGGATTTGATCCCTGAGTCAGGAAGATCTCCTGGAGAAGAGAATGGCTACCCATACCAGTATTTTTGCCTGGAGAATTCCATGGACAGAGAAGCCTAGCGGGCTGCAGTCCATAGCGTCAATAAAGAGTTGGATACGGCTGAGTGACAAACACTTTTTTGCTTTCGTAGTTGATTTACAATGTTGTGTCAGTTTCTGTGCACTGAATCGTATAACCACTCTTTTTAAGATTTTTTTCCCATATAGGTCATTATAGCTCCCTATGCTATACAGTAGGCTTTCCCTGTGGCTCAGACGGTAAAGAGTCCGCCTGCAATGCAGGATATCCGAGTTCGATCCCTGGCTTGGGAAGATCCTCTGGAAGAGGGCATAGCAATCCACTCCAGTATTCTTGCCTGGAGAATCCCGTATACCTGTACCAAGGATCCTGGTGGGCTACAGTCCATGGGGTCGCAAAGAGTTGGACACAACTGAAGCGACTAACATATGCACATGTTATACAGTAGATCCTTATTAGCCATCTATTTTAGAAGAGTTTTTTAACAGAGGGATAATATGAACAAAGGCATGGTGGCTGAGCAGATGCTGTTGCTATTACCGCTTCTCCATTTCTCCTCAATTCTCCTTACCATTTCTGAGCATGCCAACCTCAATACTCACAGCCAAGATCTGCACATTCTTGGGGAGTGGCTGTGTCTGTGAGCATAGCAGGCTGGGGATGTCTGAGAATGAATGAGTGCTTCTAGCCCTTAGTCAGCTACTGATGAGTATTAGCATATGTATGTGTATATATATATATATATATATATTCCCATTCTCTGCCCCTTGACTAGGATATTTCTGTGGGGTGTACTTTATACCAGTTCTGTGGGATTGCGGTGACCTACTGTGGTAGATTTAAAAATGTACCTATTGTTGGCTAGTTCTCTTTCCAGTGTCACTTCACTTTCAACTGTCCCTTTTCCTTGAAACCTCCAACAAACTGCTGGTCCTTGAAACTTGGCTCAGGGTCTGCCTCTAGAAGAACCAAGAGGAAGACAGTGACTACTTCCCAAACTCTAGAGAATAGAAATGATAGTCTTTGATCTGCCTTAGGAGATAATAAAGCAAACCAGATTGGTTATAGGGAGAGGTGTTCAGGTTTGATAGTGAAGGAATTTGAATTCTAGGTTAAGAGACGTGGCTTGCGTCCAAATTTCTTCTGAAATCTTTGAGTTTGGGGATAAAATAAGCAAAAGGATGTCAGAGTATGATTAATCTAACTGTGATATCTGGGGCAGGAAGGATCTAGAGGGAGGGCGATCAGTTAGGAAACAGTTTAGCACAGTTAGGAGTGCCTTAGTGAAGTGGCAGTAACAATGGAAAGGAACAGAGGAGAGAAAATATGAGGGGAAAAAATGACAGGATTAGGAGTCTAGTTCTGTGTGTTGTGGGGAGGGAGGTGGGAGGAGAAGTAGAAAATGTCTGAGGCTTTGTGAGTTAAAGAGCAGCAGTATCATTAACAGAGATGAGGAAGCTATTGAATAGGATTTGGATTTCATGAGTTAAAGACATTTGGAGTTTGTGCCAGTGGAATGTCCAAGTAGAAATGTTCAGCAGACAGCTGGAAATATAAGAAGGCAGGAAGGATTTGGTTTCAGAATTGAGACTCTCTCAGACAGCGATAAATGTGTCTGGATATTTTGAAAAGCCCAAAGAAACACTTACTTTACACAAGTCGTATAGTCCTGACCTTGTGATTCTCAGTAGAGGAGGAATATCATAGTAACCTGCAATTATTGGTGGACTTCACAGTTGAAACAGACAACCCCTTGTGATGTGAACAGGCTGAAGGTATGCATGGGGGCAAGAAGGGGATTGAGAGGACAGAAAGCTAGGTTCTAACCAATGCATGTTCTTGAAGATAGTAGACAACCAGGGAAGTGAGGAATCAAGTTCAAGGAGTTTGGAAGAATTTAGGTGCAGTAGACAGGTTTGCAATTCTGGAGACTGAGATTTGGCCAAAAGAACAGTCGTTTCCAGCAGAGTCCTTATATTCAGAGGACTGATGCTGTTTGTTTTTGCCTAGTTTTATGGAGCAGCGTTGGCCAGACACAGAAAGATGTTATTAAGGAATCCTTTCTTTAGTCTTTCTTCTTCAGGCTAAACAAACCTTATTTCATTCTTCCAGGTCATACTTTCCATTTCTTTAATTATTTGTTATTCTTCTCTGAACTTTCTCTAACTTCCCTCTTAAAATACCGAGACCAAATGTTACAAACACAGTAACAGCTCTTAGATCTGGACATAGGAAATGCTTCTTTATCTAAGGTGTCACACCCAGGCATCATTTCTTTGCTGATTTTCCACCTGTTTTTAATGTGAACATCAAGTACTCATCTAGATATCATGCTAATTTCATACACAACATGACATAGTGAAACATTTTTTCCCCCCAGTAATTTTATGTTTTAACTTCAAAAGCTCGGAGTTGGAAAGGGTATTGGCTCAAGTCGGTCTCCTGAGCCCCCTCGCATCCCTGCCATTATTTTAGGAAAATGGAAAATTGCCATACTGCCGGTCTGATTCCTTTCTCCCATAAAGTAGGTAATGCCATGACATATATGAGGTAAACTGTCAGGCTTTTACCTTATTTGTGCTTTTGCCTCTGCTCATCCCAACAGATGAAACACTGGGCTAGCTGAAATGTGATGAGAAGTAATACATTAAACGGAATTCGCTCAGACATGAGTCAAAATTGGAAGCAAGGGAGGACGCGCCAGGGAGCCGCGAGATGGCTCTGACAACATCTCTGGGAGTAATTTTCCATGTGGACCGCAGGAGGATCTTGTAAGGCACAGCCCCAGGTTAAACATGCTGGACTCTGATTCCGCAGAATTTAAAAGCCATTACTGGAGAGAGTCTACGGCTCTCCTGGCGCGGGCAGAGGAAGAAATGTTCAATGGATAATAAAAACTTTCGGTTTACAGAGTAAAGTAAAAACAGGGCCTTTCTTTCACAGGGTTTAGAAACTCGCCTCTACGTTAACGGGGGTGTGGGGTGAGAGTGTGGGTGTGTACATCTCCAGGGCTCAAGGCCTGGCGAGGCACCACTCAGCCAAGATTACCGATATTTGTAGTCGCTTCTGACCCGAGGGTAGGATCTAAATCCAGGGGAGAACAGATTCGCACCCTCTAAGGCTACGGGGAAGCTCGGGTCACTGGGGGAACTCAGAGTAGGGAGCGGGGAGCGCCGCCGCCGGCCAGACTGCGGGCGTCTCCTCCCCGCCGCCTCAGGCCCACTCCCAAACCGAACGACAAGCTTCCTGGTTCCATCCAGAAGCCCTGCGTGAGCCTCCACACGTAGCCGCAGACGGCTCCTTAAATAGGTCGGAGTGGAGCAAACAATCCCAGACGTGGGGCTGGGGCAGGCGAGCCGAAGCGACCAGTGCACGCAGCGGCGCGGCGGGTCAGCCGGCGGCCAATAGCCGGGGTGCAGCCCGCCCCGTCGCCTCCCCCTCGGGGAGACTATAAGTCGCCCGCGGCGGCAGGGGCGCCCGCCGCCCTGTGCTTCCCAAACCTCCGGGTTTCCCGCGCCGCTCTCCGCCCTGCTCGCGTTGCCGGCCGCCGGTCCCCCGCGCACATTCTGCCCGCCCGCTCCCTCCTGCTGTCCTCGACCCGGGGCGGACCAGGGGTCCCCGCTCTCGCGAGAAGTGCGCCGCTGCCGGGCGGCTGGGGTGCCGGAGCCCGCGCGGGCCCTCGAGGGGCCGAAGATGGGGTGGTGCTCTGTGAAGACGCAGCTGCTGCTGCTCCTGGCGGCGCTGATCCTCCAGCCCTGGAATCCCTGCCTGGGTACAGACTCCGAGAAGCCCTCCAGCATCCCCACAGGTGAGCGCTCCCGCGGGCCGCCCTGTCCCGCGAGGCTGGGCCGGATGGGCGGTTCATTCATCCGCTGGCCCTTCGCGTGGGGCCCGCCAGGTGAGTAGGTGGAGGGGGACCCGTCCCTCCCAGGTCCGCGGAGGTTGATTTGGAGCGAGTCTGTCCTTCTCCCAGGACCACCGAGGGGGGTGGGGCGGACTGTTCTTTCTTCCCAGCACCGCCCAGGTCTTCCCCAGATCTGAGCTCCGGCGGTGCTGGTCCCTGGAGGAATGTAGGAGCATCCGCCCTCATGGGCTCTTGGAATCCTCCGGGACCCGAGAGCGCACGAAGTTTTCTTCAACACAAGTTGGGGGTTTCATTTTGGACTTGGAGGTCCCAGGGTTCCAACACCTTTCCTGCAACTTTACTTTCTCCTCTTTTGCTGGACTTGGCAGGATTTATCCTTACTGGACGAGGTGGTACTCCCTCTGTGACCTTAGCACGGGGCTCAGTGTACTTTCTGATTGATGGTGACACATTCCTTCCAGCGCCCCAGGAAGCTGCCGGTAACACCTACCACCTGCCAAAAACAACGCTCACAAACCTTGGTTGTTTTCAGTAAGATGGCTTGGCTACCTAATACCTCCCTCCGGGAGGCAGCTTTCCTCCTTGGGGATTTGGAGGGGACGCTTCTCTTGCCTTTAGGCACACTCTCCCTAAGCCTGATGCTGTTCCTTGTTTTCAGAAGTTGGAACTGCAGTCCATAGTTGAGTCAAGGTCATCTAAGACACAACTTTTTACATTTAGCAAGATTAAAGAGAACCTCACCACATGTTCGTGGAAACATACTTTGCATCCATTTACTGCACATGCGATATCCTTGGGCTTTTCCACTTTTGTACTCTAACTCAATGCTCTCTGAAATTAGATCTTGCATTTAAATGTCCTTCTGTATTGCTTTTTTTTTTAAAAAAATTAAGATCATTTTGTCTTTTGGGGGTAGGTGAGTAAATAGGGCTCTTTCTGTTTGAATTTTATTTAAGCACAAGGACAGAAATTTCTATTTTAGGTCTACATTTCGAAGTTGACATTTGGTGTAAAACCTAATCGGTCTATGTAAGCAATACATTTGTCTTCATCTGTAAGTGTTTCAGAAAACTGCAGTGGAGTACGTTGCCCATCTTTCTACATTCCTGCCAAACAACAAACAGTACATGCTTTGTTAGCTTGAGAAACTTCAGCATTCGCATAGATTTTTGTCAGTTACAGGATACTTTTATTTTTCTCAGGTATATGTGATGGCTTCAAAGTGAGTTTCTCAACCCTTTGTGGTTCCTTTAAATTTGAACTAAAATTTTTTCATTACTTTAAAATTATCTTTTAGTGTAACATCTAGACAAGAAAATGCCTTCAGCAAACTTGGAGACAAAGAATAATTCCCAGGAAAATGACTTTCTTTGCTGAAACACCCAAGGAAACTTACTGGGAAATAAAATAACCTCTAAGGGTTTTGCTGCTTTTAGAGGGACCTCTTCAGCCTTTGCATATTTTATTTCACTTTATTCTCAGCACTCCTTACTTTTTATAGAAGACATCTCTTTGTGGTTGCATTTAGGTTTACATTCAAAATCATCTTCCTTTCCTAATTTGACTTTTAAGTTTCATGGAGGTGGATTGTAAAGTTTGAATGGATTGTGACATCAGAGAAGGAAATTTCAGATATGAATTTTTTTTTTTTTTCAGAAAGTGACCACATAAAACCCAGTGCTGAAATCTGAAGACTGGTTTTGGTGAATGGGCATGGGAAATTCAGAATCACATAAATTCAGAAATATATTGACTTGTAATAGGTGGAGTGCCTAGTTACCAGTTTGATTTTGAACTGTTGTATAAGTAGATGTGATAAACTAATATATATATAGATTGTACAGTGCTTGATAACATAGGGAGAATCATGGATTGTGTTCCATTTTCTTTCTAAAATATTACAACTGAAAATTGTTCAATTGAAAACTTTATGTCAGTATCAAGCATACTTCAGAACTCTGTGTTGTCTAGCTTACTCAATCGGAGATGTTTAAGGAATACTATCATCTCTAACCCCCTATTTTTGCCAATATATCCCTGCTAGCCATGAAGAAATAGATTAGACCAGGGTTTTGTGACCTTATTTACATTTTGAACCAGATAACTATTTATTGTGGGAGACTACAATAAATGTAGTAAACATTTTACAATGTTTAGTAGCATCCTTTGTCTCTACCTATTGGATTCCAGGAGCACCCTTCTTCAGGTGTGAATATAATATATGTCTCAAAATGGAAAATAATCATATGTCTTCCAAGGGACACAATTGTCCAGGATTGGGAACCATTGGATTAGACAAATCCATTTGTATTTGAGGCCATGTTGTATTATAGTATGACTAGGATGATGTTAGCCACTCTAAACTTCCCTGATGGCTCAGACGGTAAAGAATCTGCCTGAAGTTCAGGAGATCCGGGTTCAATCCCTGGGTCAGAAGATCACCTGGTGAAGGGAATGGCACCCCACTCCAGTATTCTTGCCTGGAGAATTCCATGGACGGAGGAGCCTAGTGGGCTACAGTCCTTGGGGTTGCAAAGAGTTGGATATGACTGAGCGACTAACGCTTTCTTTTGGAAACAAATATTTATAATGATTTTCGGTTTTTCCACTGTAGTAGAGAATGTACTGTTTGGATCATATTAATCAGTTTTTGGACTATAGTTTTTCCTAGCTTTGATGCTGTGTGTTAACTGAAGTTGAAAATAATGCTTTTTGTTCTCTTGACTGAGAGTTCTGCTATGTACTGCATTCATTCCTGTTTGATTGCCACTTTATTCTCAACATGGAAAGACTCTGAGGAGGATTTGGTTAAAAATAATCATTTTCTCCTAGAATCATTTATAGGAATTTTGCCTTAAAATTTTATTTCCATGGGAGCTTTCGAGGCAAAACCCTCCTAACTTGTCAGCAAATCAAGTTCATTCCCTAATTTATGTTTCCTGCACTTCTCTGCCTTCTCAGTGAGAGAAGGAAAACAGTGGATGTATTGCTGCCAAGGAATTCTAATCAAGTCTCCAGACCTGGATCAATATTTTGTGTGTTTTCTAAGGTACCTTGACCATCCATTGTCTAAATTGGGCAGAAACCACGTCTTAGGGAAAAATGGAGGAAGTGGTTTCAGATGTTTCTGTCAAGACCAGTATTTTTCAAGCATGTTCATTTATAAACTCTTTAATTTACCCTGGCACATTCATGGAGGAAAGGGAAGGTTGTCTCTATCTGCTGATGTAAACTGGCAATTTACGGGGTGGAGAGGAAAAGACCAAGGTCCTTGCCTTGTGTTCATATAAAAATAGACATATGAAACAATTTGGGAGAATGAGAGGACCAGAGATGAAAATGAAATTAAGATATCCTTTTCTACCCATCACATTGACTAAAGCATCTAAAAAATTCTGATCACACCAACTGTTGTGAGGATGAAGTTTCAAACTGTCAATGGAAGCACAACACTTTTGGAGAAAATTTAATAATATCTGGTGAAATTGAGAATTAACATATCCTATGTTGTACACCCTAGATGTACGTGTACATGTCTCTCAAATTTGTGTCTGTTCTCTTTGGAATTCTGTTCTTTATTTAAATCAAGCTCCTAAAAAGTTCTTCCCCCTACTATCTTTTTTTTTTTTTTTGGCTTTCCTTCTAACTTCTTAATGCTGTTGATTTATACAAACCATATCTGCTTTGTAAGATAATGTCTATGTTTAATACATGATACATTCTTTGGCCTGAGGGTTGAGTCTTTTTCCTTTTTATGCACCTCATACTACCTTTCCTGTTCTTTTAACACAAAGAAGATTCTCTGTTAATGTTTGATATGTTTCAGGCCACCTTGAAGAATTATGAAAAGTGGCATGCAGTCAATGGGATTGCTAGCTGTTTCTTTCCCTGAGGTTTTAACTAAATTCACTTTCTCTCCCTGGGACCCACACACCATCATGGTCAAGGAACTTACCCATGAAACATCAAGCTAGGTCTTGTTTCTGAACAAGGTTTTGGCAACTCTCCTCCACATGTGGCATTTTCTGCTCTACCTACCTTTCTCAATGTAAAATCACAGCTTCAAAAATACTTTCAGGTGGCTGGATACCATGATCCTCTTATAGACAGTGAAATGGATGTTTGGATGGTCTGTCATTTATAGAAGATCAGATAGCTGAAAGCAAAAAAAGAGGGCTTCTACCCTTTCTTGAGGCCACACTCCATGTCTTTCCTGACCATTGTTCTGTTGGACTTTTGGGACCTATGGGAAAAATATAGAAACTGGGCATCAGAGATCGGAAAGAAGCAAAAGGGCCACTTTGCTAAAGAGCACTAATTTGTAGGTTTGTGTAAATGTAGGGGAAAGGGACAGACAGAGCCTAAAGGAAACCCTTTGCTGATACTTGTAGCAAACTACAGCCCATGGGCCAAATCCAGTGAACTATAAACAGCTACTTGCTTTTGTATGGCTAGTGAGCTATTGATGGCTTTCATATTTTTAAAAAGCTGAAAAATATCAAAAGAAAAATAACATATCATAACATGTAAAAGTTATATGAAATCCAGTATTCAGGGTCCATAAAGATTTATTGGCTCATAGCCACATTCATTCATTAACGTATCATCTGTGCCTGCCCTGGTACTACAAGGCAGAGTGGAGTGGTGATTATCACAGAGGCTGTAGGGCCTGCAAATTCAAAATTATTTCCTCAGGCCTGTACAGAAACCCTTTGCCCACTTTCAGGAAACGATGTTCCCACTTAAGCCATGTCTCCTGCAGATCTGCTGTTCCCCTTGGAAAGAGTCGGATTGTGGACAGTAGCAGCTGGCTCCGGCATTTGAGAGGGCTGTTTCTCATTTTAGACTTCGCCAGTGATTTCTGTGGCATTTTGAATTCAAACAGAGAGCTTCTCTATTACATCTTTTTAAACCTGGTGTTCAGTGCTAACTGGACATGTACT